CTCAATAATAAATTTGTTTTTGGGACCTCAATTGTGAAAAGTTTTTTTCCACTGGAAAAAATGCACATCGAATCTCCCTTTACTTAGCTCCTGAGGCCAATGAAAGCTTGGGGCTTCTCTTGAGCTGAAGATCTGAGGCTGCAAAGCAAAAGGATTGCTAAGGACAATTACAAAGCACCTGAGAAAGGAAGCTGAATACAATCTATGAAAGGAAAATGAATACTACAATCAATTACAAAAGATCCCTCACCAGGAATCCAGATTTGTTTTGGTGATAGTTTATTATAGAGGTACTCCTGTTTGTTTGAGGGGGGGGGGGACCCCCCTTTACTAATCAGGATCCAACATTATGTAGCTGCTAACGAATTATGTCACCAGACTTGGACTCCTGGGCTTTTGTTACTGCACTGTAGGAGCAGTTCCTCATCGCGTATCATGCTGTTTGCCCCCCCCCCACACATAAGAAGTAACATGCAATGAGCCGCAAAAACATGGCCGGCAACATCCAATCGTTGACCTGGCGTCCATGTCTGCCAAACTCTGGCGGCTTTGGGTCAAAACTGGAGGCATCCTGCCATCCTGGGTTTTTCCCCACCCAAAAATGGACGTAATCCGCCGACCCGGGCCGCGGGCGGTGGCCCCTTAAATACACTGGACCCGGTCAATCTACCACGGCGAACCTCGTCCAGCTCTTCACCCTGTCGCTCGTCTGAGCTTCCCCGGCCAAATCGACGAAGGTCACCTTCCCTGGGACGTGGAACCCGCACGGTGGAACCGGTGAACTTCGCACGGGTCTTGGACATCAAGGCGCGGAAGGCGATGCGGAAGCGGCTGGACATCAAGGCGAGGCCAGATTTCTTGCCAGGTGTTACAGTCAGTTCGCTCAAGACTTGGCTGCTAACAGGGGTATGAGCTGGCAATCAGGGTCTTTCATGTTACACATTAAGTGAACATTTGTCAGCTGGTCTGGGTGGTGAGGGATCGCCATCCTCCAAAATTTGGTGGATTTGAACGAACGTTCCAAATAATGCCAAATATATATACTCCAACAATGGACCCACTATGAGCTATATGACTTCATGAGCTTTCCTCTGTGGTTTGTTCGTTTGAATGCAAACCAATCACGCTGCCATCCTCCGACACTGCGTGTCAAGATCCAGGAATTCATCAAATCGAGTTCAGGCTCAGAGAGTACTTCGCCCGGTACAGTACTTCGCCAACAAACACCTCATGTCACTGGGCTGGCCCTGCCATAGGTCCGCGTGGAGCTACCATCTTCTTCCTCGGGCGCGCGCGCGGAACCGCGCTTCCGCGCGGGCCGGTGGGTTGGAGACTGGATGGTTTCCGGTCAAACGCCCGCGTAGCGGATCTCTTGCGTATCGCTGGGATCGCTGGTGTAATATGTGTTCCTCGCTTGATCATGATTGATTGATCCCCTCATCTCTGGCGCTGCTTACAGGGGGTTTTGGTAACACAAGTTATA